CCCACGCCAACACAGGGAGAGCTGAACTTACTACTCACTGCACCACTGTGCAGCCATGACAACTAATAGAAACCCCAAATTCAGTATCTCGAAAAACTGGAATTTTGTTTAAGACCAATACAAAGAAAGGATTTTTAGAAGTTTCGGCCAACCAAAAAGTATGAACTTGAAAAGTATGAGTAGAAATAATCTTATCACAAATCGAAAAGCAAGATTATTTTGCTTGCCCCATTGGCAGATTATTTAGCTTGATTTGAGGAAAAACTCACTTCATTTTGGCATATTATTTCTTAAAACAAGACAATATGTTTTGCTTGTCTGGAAAATGCTTCTTGATTTAAGAATTTGTAGATATTTGGACTAGAAACGAGACAAAAACTCTCAGTAAGAAAACCATTTTTGCAGTGTGATCAATAAACTGAAGATGCAATACAAGAACTATTAGTGTGGAGACATTTTAACTATAATTATATTGTGGTTTGATGTGCTTAAAAGAAATGGACATCAGTTTAGGATTAAACTGAAACTGACTGAGAAGCTAAAATAGTTAAAAGAGCTGCAGCTATTTCTGGTATTCTGCATGCAAATAGGTAAGAAATATAAAGTGTGAAAACAAGAGTAGAAACTGACCAGTGCTGTGAAAAATTTGTTTTTAGCACTGGACAGCGACATTTAGAAATACCTTATTGAAAAATGTCCATATTATAAATATATTTTTAGTTTTTTTTTTATTTAATTATTATTATTATTATTATTTTTATTATAGAAGATCATACAGGCCTATTAATTTTCATCTGAAACAGCACTGCTCTTAAAAAATTATGAAGATCTGTGTAGAATGAAAAGAAGTGTATCTGATGAATCAATATGTCTCTGCATGATTGTTGTTGATTTCTATGTTGGTTTCTGGCGTGATTATTGTGATCATTATTGTTATTGAGTGATTAACTAAAAGAGCTGATCATCATGGGTGATTTTATACAAATATACCATTATGATGGTAGAGGCACATTTATAACCTGTAGATTCAGTAATTTTACCTTAATTTAATAATCTACAAACAATGCATTTCTAATGACCTCAAAAAACAAGACTTTGGAGATATACAACATATTTTTTAAATCAGGTTTTATTATTTTTTATTTTATTTTATACATATACATATACAACAACAAAAAATAAGGTCAAGAATCTTGGTGTGACTCTGGAGTCAGATCTGAGTTTCAGTAGTCATGTCAAAGCAGTCAGTAAATCAGCATACTATCATCTCAAAAACTTTGCAAGAATCAGATGCTTTGTTTCCAGTGAAGATTTAGAGAAACTTGTTCATGCTTTCATCAGCAGCAGGGTGGATTACTAACGGCCTCCTCACTGGCCTTCCCAAAAAGACAGTCAGACAGTTACAGCTCATCCAGAACGCTGCGGCCAGGATTCTGACCAGAACCAGGAAATCAGAGCACATCACACCTGTCCTCAGGTCTTTACACTGGCTCCCAGTTACATTCAGAATAAAGTTTAAAGTATTATTACTTGTCTATAAATCACTAAATAGCCTAGGACCTCAATATATTACAGATATGCTGACTGAATACAAACCCAACAGACCACTCAGATCTTTAGGTTCATATAAACTAGATATTCCAAGAGTTCAGTCAAAGCAGGGTGAATCGGCCTTTAGTTACTGCACCCCCCGTTGCTGGAATCAGCTTCCAGAAATGACCAGATGTGCTCCAACATTATCATTCAAATCAAGACTAAAAACACATCTGTTTAGCTGTGCCTTTACTGAATGAGAACTAATGAGAACTATGCTACGTCCGACAGATCGCACTATTGTGTTTTTCTTTTCTATTTTAATTCTTTTATAACCTGTTTTAACACATCTTAATCTGTTTTTAATAATTTTTATTATTTGTCTTTTTTATTCTTGTTTATGTAAGGCACTTTGAATTACCACTGTGTATGAAATGTGCTATATAAATAAACTTGCCCTGCCTATATATATGTACATATGCCATAATCATGTTTATTCAGATTATGTCATTTTAACTCAGCATACTGTATCTATACAAAACTCACTGCTAAAGCGCCAACTAGTGGCGGAAGATAGAACATAGTTATTTTACAGTGTAGGCCTAAAAAGTTAATATCGTCATATCACCAGTGGTGGAAAAAGTACTGAAAAACCATACTTAAGTAAAAGTACTATAACTTGCTTAAAAAGCAAGTAGAAGTAGGAGTAAAATGTAGAGCTTTTAAAAGTACTCAAGAGCAGTGAGTAGTGGGTATTATGCTGTTAAAAGCTGATGCATTTACATGTAATTTGTGGATGTGTGTAAACGTAACATTCTGTAGTGCATCTAGTTATTGCCCAGCAGGCACACAAAGTCAGAAGACGTTAATATTAGGTTAGATTTAGGTTGTGATGTCAGGTGACCAAAATTCAATCTCTAGCCAGCCAGTGTCTAAAGACAACATTATTTTGATAATAATGATGTCAAACGACAGTGATATTTGGTCATTTTTAGGTTGTTAAAAAGTGACCAAAATCAAACGTTAAGCCAACATCTTAAACCAACCTCATATTGACTTCAAACACTGACATTTATTTGTCAGGTATGGCAACCAAAATCCAACGTCTGACAGACGTCATAGTGGTAACATCCACACAACGTCAAGCTGTTACATCATTAGACATTTATATTTAGTTGGTTTTAGGTTGGACTTTGGACATTGACGTAAACCCGATTTTTATTTCCAAACAAACGCAGCCTCCCCGTGACGTTAGAGTACAACGTCAATCTAACATCATGTTAAAATCTTGTGCCTGCTTGGGTTTAAGGCTGTTTCGGTCATCATGCATTAAACATCCATCATCTTCTCATCGTTAACATCTAAACAGTCTCTAGATCAATGCGTATAAAGATTTTGTACATCATCTTGGACACACCTTTTAATGCTTCCAAACAGTTTGCTTCAATTATAAATCACCCATGTCTTGAGGCAGTTCATCATGATGCGATTTACCTTCTTTGTGTGATTTGATTGGACAGGAATCAAAAGACAACTCAGCCAATCCCTATTGATAATAAATAAAGTAGTGACTGCAGCTTGAAGGAAAGTAGTGAGAGTAAAAGTACCGATACAGCACTAAAAATGTACTCAAGGGAAAGTAAAAATACACATTTATAAAACTACTTAGAAAATTAACATTTCAGAGAAAACTACTCAATTACAGTAATTGGAGTATTTGTAATCAGTTACTTTACACCACTGCATATCACAGTATAATACTGTTTTTTTTTTTTTAATTTTGAATAATAGCTAACCTTTATTGACAGTAAAACCTCTTGTGTGAACTTCAGTATATTTGTCAGTGATCTGTAGCATATTTGATCAACAGAATAGATTAAGCTAACTTTCCTCGTTGAACTCTGATTAAATGTCTTTAGTTTTTATCGTTAGTGAAGGAGACTGAAATCCTCAGTGTTTCCTGAGATGGAGTCATGAATGGTCTCCTCCCTGTAACATTTTACACTAACAATACATTCATCATACTTATTTAAACGTTCTGAATGTTCTTAATGCGTGTATTTTTTCTAGTGGTTCATCACAGTGTATCGAAACTCTTCCAGGCTCTGCTTGTAGATGTTATAAATACACTGGAACATAAGATATCATCCTTCTTTGTAGGCCATTCATATTTAAATGTGTAGTTAAACGCATATAAACATACAATTGAAATGATTCAAATATGCTATATTTTACCAATCTCTGATACTTTTTGTTTTGCATGCTTTGAATTTAATGTAGAGCAAAATGTGGAAATATATGGCTCTTCTGATGTAGATGAAAGTGATTTGGCTCCCTCTTGCGGCTTAATATAGAAACACAGTTTAAATGCTCTTTTATTGGAGCGCTCTTACAGACTTTGAGCATTATCAGCAAAGGAAGCCAAAAAAATTATCTAATAACCTCGTCACAATTCCACACATTAAAGGTCTCAGTAGACTGTGAGGTAAGTAAACACTCCGTTTTTGTGATCAAGATGTCAAATTTATAAGTTAAGAGTCAGACAAAGATCAGAGCATTTTTGACAATAGCCAAATTGTTTTGAAAAGCCGACTATATATATATATATATATATATATATATTATTGTGCATTCCAAGTGATGATGCACTACGGCAGAGTTAAGTCTAATCCGTCAGGTCATAGCAAACAGACTTATTTTGATGTAAATCATATAAATTTAAATTTCATTGCATTATGATGTCAATAATGTGTAGTTCGATAAATTAAAAGCATTAGCAAACAAAAATGAAAATGTAAACATCAAGGATTTTTGTACAAAACCTCTTTTGGTAAATCAAAATGCCTCAAAATAACATTTAAACTTGGACCACATTAATCAATTTTGACTTTATGAATACACAAATTAATGATTTTTAAAAAATATTTGTCATTTAGTTTTTTTGAAAAAGTTTTGTCATTGGTGTTACTTCTGTAGGCCAACTTGGCTGTGGGAACAAGTGGTTGTGATGACTGAAATTTTACATGAGTAATTAAACCACAATTATTGCCACATTGATGACTCAAAAACTAGTGTTATATTTCAAATAATATAGTTTCATTTTAAAATATTAAAGAAATTAAATACTTAGAGCTTAATGCAATCAAAGTAAATGATGACATGTTTCCTTTTAGGGTGAACTTTTCTTTTAAAGTTTATTTAACTTGATGAATAAGTGATGTTTGAAATATTATCTTAAATACTATTTCAACAGGCAACACATCTGTCTAGACATTCTAGTAAAAAAAAGTTGTTGAAATTATTGAACTATTTCGAATTGGTTTAATTATGGGCTATTTAATAAATGAAAATAGGGGAACTGGCCACAAATGCATTGAGTATGCTGTCTTTTTTTCTTGAGTTGTCAATACAGACAATAGATTTTTTTGTAATAATTATGCATATTTCAATAAATAAAATACACACCATCCATCTTCTTTAACATTTATTTAAAAAACATTTTAAACATTCAGCAATAACAACAAAATAATCTTTGGAGACGGTGGGGTGCTTTTTTGTAGTGTACTAGAGTAGTGCTTTATTGCAGATTACTAGAGTAGTGCTTTAATGTGGGAACACGGGTAAAAATTATTAAAAAACAAAACAAAACAGATAATCTATAAAACCATAAAAAGGCCCAGCTATTTATGCATTTACAGATAGTGATATACAGCAACAGCACACATATAAAGGATTCTGCTCTTGAAACCTGCATTTAAATGTTATAGAATGAACAATTATACTCACAGGCTGTAGTAGACGTTACAAGGTGGAGTCAATCAATCCCACAACACACACTTAACAGCTAGAAAATGTCAAAAATACACAGAGTTTGCGCGCCAAAATGTATTTCTGCGTCTCACCACAAGATGGCGGCCATTCAGTGGAATACTGTCAGTAAAACTTTCAAAATAAAAGATTTAATGAAAGTAAGGTTTGCAAACATGACAGAAAAAAATGTTTCATAACTAATAGACAGCTTGCTAAGTTTGATAACACAAACAAACCATATTGTTTAGTTATTGAACACTTAGTGAGCTGTCTATAATAACAAAAACTATGATTTCTGTCATGTATACAAATGTTACTTAAATTAAATAATATTTTGAAACGTCCACTTTGCTTTTTTAGCTTCTGTATGTCAGCCTGGCCATTGCTCAAGAGTTAAGCACATACACAATATGTAATCATATGTATTGTATACATGTCTTATCAATATTTGTTGACAAAAAAAAAAAATCTAAGCTGCAGAGAAGCTGGATAGATAATAAAATTAGTATTCGACTGTATTCTCTTTAGTCATAATCTGAATAGTGTTTCTGGTCTTTGACTCTCATATCTAGTCATTCTCTGGCCAAAAATGGGGGGACATTTGGGGAACATAAGTTTTTAATCCAAAAAATGCAAGTGTTAGTGTACCATAACCAGACCACTTTAAAACCGAAGTGAACACAAAAGTAAATAATGTCTTAGCAATAAATAAATAGGAAAAATGTAAAGTTTCTTAGTGTTTTTCCTAAATGAGGTGAAAAAAAATGTATATGTAGTTTTTCTCGTGTATGATTGTAGTGTAAGGATCTTATCTCATTTTACTTTAATGCTATAATTTTTCTGTCTGAAAATATTCAGCTAAATAATAAATTGAGTACTTTTTTCACATGCCTGACCTCATCTCAAGATCACTCAATTTCACCAGAAATATTCTGAAAACACAGAAAGCAGGCACATATTGTATGTTTAGGTATAGCTGGAGCTCTGATGTTGAAGATGTCACTGATGGATGTGTCCAGTTAAAGTGGACTCTTGCCCTCTTTCTCACGCTCTTTATCCAGCTCAGTTCAACAGTACCTCTCTGTAGTTGTTGATTCAGTCATTTGCTTTGTGGAGTCCTGAGAAGTGCTATGAGTGAAAGAAATCAAAACCATTGTTGACTTGTTATCAAAATACTGTTAAATATACTGTTATAATACTCCACTATATTGTTGTTAATAGTAAAATATGTAAATACTAAAATGTAAAACATGTAAATATATCTAGTTTAGAGATGCATTTGTTTGGCTCAGCTGATAAATGATATAAAAACGATTTTGATTAGTCATTTTGTGATATTATCAGTACATTGTACGAATAAATAACATTTATAACCTTAAGTTAGATTAAGTTTGATCAATTTAAGTAAGTAAATCAAAAGTACACCTAATCAAATTGTGACATAGATTTGTCTGTGAACATCTAATATCTTTGAATAAAACTCGCAGTGTCTTCAGGAACTACCCATAAAGATAAAAGCCTTTGGTTTAATATGAGAAAAGCATTAAGCTTTTGTAGGTGTTTTATTAATTTTCTACAGCATCGGTATTATAATTTTATCCAAAACGGAGTTCAGATAAACTAAATTGAAAAATAGAAATAAAGGACTCACGTGATGCGTTGGAGATGTGGTATAGAAGAAGGTACATTTTTGCATTCTACATGGCTGTGTCCTAAAGTAAAAGTGTTTTGGATCCATTGAATCCATATTCCATTGAATCCAGAGATATGTTTATTGGGCAATTATACAAGTTCTAACCTCCAGCATAATCATGCTATTAAGCTAAGACAAACAAGATATTGGATGCAACTATGATCTGCTGGAAGAGTTGTTTTAATGGAAGTTCACACCACATGCTGAATGGCAGAAAAAAAAGCTCAGCATTTCAGGTGCAGGTGTCTGCGGTTTGCACTGACTCGGTAGGTGCAAAGAGTGTCAAACAGTCGTGTGTGCATGTGTGTATGTGTGTGTGTGTGTGTGTGTGTGTGTGGACTATCCTGTCGCAAAACGCAGCGAAAAGCCTTACATGACGGTAATAGTTCGATTAAGGTGTTTACATGTCTGTAATGCCATTTAATAATGCGACTAAAATCGGCATACTCCACACGTCTTAATTCGATTTCTCTTTAGTTCGATTATGACATTAATCTGTGTAAATTAATCAAAAATCTCTGTTTACAATCAGAGTATTATCTTAATCGCATTAAAATCGAATTATTGACGTAACGTAAACGTAAACCTAGTCAATGACAAATGACAGGCACACATCTCAAACATAATAATAATTAACTTCAGAATTATGAATAGTTGTATTTTGATGTCATCAATTTTTTGTGAATTAAAAATCAGGGCAAATTTAAAGTCTGTTCAGGTCCACCATTCCAAGTGTATACAAAGTTTAGCATTTTAACCAACACAGAGGCCTATTATTATTATCATTATTATTGTTTTATCATATGTTTGAGAATAACAATAATAATAGCCTCCTCATATTAACCTTTATTTTACATTTAAAGAATTGAGAGAAAATCGTGATTGTCAATTTAGCTAGAATCGTGCAGCCCTAGTCCCGTCTATATCAAAAATATTTAATTGAAAGACAACTGTTTACCTTGTACAACTCTTTCCACTTTTTTCATGTTCTTGTTGAACTTCAGTTGGGTTTTCTGACGAGCATCTTGTCAGTTTCTACACCATCTTCGTTCTGAGGGTTTGGACTGGCAGGTTCTACCATCTCTGATTTCATGACAGCAGCACACACACAACAGAAACAGAGAAACGCAAAAAGTTGCCATAAGATCAATTGTGTGATTTGTGAACACCAGAGTTCATTTTGGGAAAAATAAACACAGGCTAATCCCAACCGTAATTGAATATTTCACCACATTTATGTATATAGAAAAAGGATTAGACCTCCTGTGAAATGAATTGTTTTTTAAATATTTTCCAATCGCTGTTTAACAGAGTAAAGTAAGGTAGATTGTGTATTTTAGAGTAAAATAATGCCCTTTCCTAAAATGCACTGAATTAAAGGACAACATTTTTAACTGCAAATACACAAAAATGGCCATTAAACATAAGCCAGGCTCATTGGAAACATGTGCCCAGGACTACCACAGATATGTACCCTGGACTACGTTTTCTTGCAGTTTTTGTTTTCACAAATCCACTAGAGGGTGCCGAATACATTTTTGACAATAGCTGCGTCCCAAATCGCATACTTATGCACTATTCTACGCCATTTTGTAGTATAAATAGTGCAAGTAGTGCGTTCACACTGAAAACTCTAAAAATAATAAGTGCACTTTAATTACCCGGATGATGCACTCATTCAGCCGGTAAAATGAAGTGTGGAATGATGGACACTTCACGCACTCAACGACCGCAGGTTTGCTTACATAGCGGAAGGGGCGGAGCTATCGGACGCACATGTTGGATAACTTTATTTATTTTAGATGGTGAAAGCAAAATTCTCGTACGAGAGTGATTATAGCGCCTCTCGATGGTGAATGCGGCAATACTCACGGTAGGTATTATTTGATAATTCGGTCGTTTATTTCACTGATTTGGCGACCGTCAAACGTCATCAGGGAAACGGTTTGAATTTCCACTTAGTAAAAAACCATTAGTGTGCCATTTGGGACGACACTACATACATATACTATCCTGTTGAGTGTGTAAGTGCATAAGTACATAGTGCATGAGTGCATAGTGTATAGTGTGGCATTTGGGACGCAGCTAATCTCAAATACATTACTGGGCACGTTTCTAGTAAATCCACCAGAGGACGCTGTGTATGTTACTGCAAATCTCACCATCCTTCATCAAAAGCAAACTAGAAGAGAACAGAAATCACAGCCGCGTGCTTCTACAATGACCCTTACGTGTCCTTTTTTGGGGTTTTTTTTTTCCAGTTTTCTGGAACAGTCTTTTATTGGACTCAAACCCTGGTCTGCTCCACTCTACCTCCCAAGTCTAGCATCATTCACAGTGAGCTGCTGAGCAAACCAGTCACACAAGAAATATGTTCCACACCGAGTCGGTAAGCAGTTAGCAGTACTGCCTGTAGTGCTTGTTTCACAAATTAGATGCAGTCGTATGTACAAGCGAGCACATATTTCTCAGTTCTCAAAAATGTACAGTCTCTTTTCCAAAAAGACTGTGTTGCTTAAATTCATTAACGTGGTCTTTGTAGAAATTTCTAGGTTTTAGGAAGGTAACACATTCATTTAAACTCTTCTGTAGCAAAATAAAAGTTCTAATACTTACGTGACTCTGCCTCGCAGACATTTACTTCATGTCGCAGCAGCATATAAACAGAAAAGAGAAGATTATCGGTAAATGAACAGATAAATATCTGAAACACTTTTCAAATCTCATCAAATCTCTCAAGAACAATTTCAGTAATGAGTGTGAACAGTAATTGCAGTGGTGATTAATGTAAAGCATGTGTTAATATTAGTTGATGAAAATGAAAATCTTATGAGTATTAGTTTTAATACTTACATGACTGTCGCTCACCAGCACTTGCTTTTCATAGAAATAGAGAAATGAAAAAGACCTTAATGTAGTTGTTTAAAATGGATAGTTTGACAGATTCAACTATCAGTGGATGAATAGCATGCAAATCAATTCTGCACAGTCGAACACTTGAATAATTATTGACCCAATTCAAACACAGAAAAGTTATTTAACCCTTCATATAATGTTGTGCGATATGGACCTAAAATATCACCATGTTTTCTGGTATTTATTGTGAAATCATTGATTCTGATGATTATTTATATAATTGCACAGAGAAAGACAAAATATTTTAACTGTCCACTGATTTCCAAAGTGGTTTGCTTTGCAAGTCAAGCAAAAGCAACACGCTTTCATGTTTTTTAGCACATTTAATAGCTGATGAATGCATAATCGCATGACATAATTGATGTTTACATACAGATTACGCTGACTCATTTAAATAAATAAAACAATGTCATAAAATATGTTCAACTAGACTAAATTTTTTTTCAGATCCTTCATTGCTTGATTATCATGCATTTTTTTTGTCAGTTCATGAAACCTTATGCACGTTTTGGGTGATAAGTGTTTCTGAAATGTGGTTTAATTACACACAAAAACAATTACACAATGTTATGGATATTGTATCATCAATAAAATTGGTACTCGTTTATTGATGTGTTGTAGAACAAAAAAAGATTTCATACCCATGACATTTCTAGAATGAAGTGTGTCGTCGCACATTGAAGCTCAACACATTTGAACATTGCCGTGTCAGCGGTGGTACTTACAACTGTTCTTTAAGACTTTGCCTTCATTGGATAGCAGCACATAGAAATAGAGGAAACATAAGATTATGATTAGATTTGCAAATTAGCATCCTCATCTGACAAACAAATATTGATCAGCAAACACATGTTTAAAGCATTCCAGTTTGGTCACATATGCATGAGAACCAGTGAAATTTTTCTTGAGTTTTTCTTTTTCATTTTGAGGTGAGTTTTATATGAGACCTGCATTTAAAACAACTGTGAGAGAGACTGAAAATGATTCTGTTGCTGATCACTTTACTATCAACAAACCCTTTGGATTTGAATGCCAATAATATGATTTACATAGTTCGCTTTGGGTGGTACCACAATTACTTGCTAGAAATCTGTTATTTTTCTGTACCAGAAATGACCTCCAACATTTTGCCTGAGACAGTAATATTATAATATTGATAGCTACTAGCAGTAAAAGCATATGCATAGAAAAACTATATGCTTTTACTGCTAGTAGCTGCTAACTTGCCACAATTTCAGCTACAAATATTCTTTAATTTTCTACTCTGGGGGTAAAGTCATCAGTTTTGAACCAACAAAAATTCATTACTTCTTTTATCAGTTTTCAATTTACATGACCTGCATTAGATAAAAGAAGCAACTGCACATACAACAGCACAAACACAAATACTGCTCTGAATCACATAGTCTAGATCTAAATAACATCTCAAAAGCCAGCAGGACAACAGTTTTAAAACACTGGTGCAAAATCTCTTAAGCATTTAGGGGACTTTGAGTAGTGATGGGAAGTTCGGATCATTTTACTGACTCGGATCTTTGAGTCTCGTTCATCAAGATGAACAAATCTTTTTGAGTCATTTCGTTCATTTGGTTCAATTTGCCAAAATATTATTCAAATGTTACGAATTGCTTCCAAACACATCTACAACTAACCCAAAAGGTTGACTGCACGACAAATATGTCATAACTAGAATACTATAAGAAGGATAAATAATAATTCAATGTTTACCTGCTCTTTTGTCTATGAAGGCATGTTGTCTCTTTGCTCAGCTCACCTCTTTAAATGTCAGGGGTTCATTCACGTTACACTGACAGTCACATATAATCTTAATCAATGCACAGTCTGAGCCGATAGGAGCCTTGATCGTTCGTTGTTTATGTGACAGAATGACTCAAACCCGAGGAGTCGAGAGATGAGCGGTTCAATTCTTTTTCCGGCTCTAAACGCGTATGATTGGCCCGTGATGAACGAGTAGTGACTCAGACCCGATAGAGGACTTGAGAGGTGAGCGGTTCAATTCTTTTTCCGGCTCTAAACGTATATGATTGGCTTCTGCCAATGATGAAGACTTGAAATTAACGATACTACCTGCACAAATGTGCACACGCGCGGATGAACGAATCACTCCCTGAGAGGACTCGTAGTTCCCGAGTCATATTGAAGATTCGTTCAAAATGAACGAATCGTTCATGAACGACCCATCACTAATTTTGAGAGCTTCTATAGCAGAATACAACATAAACCATAGATCAAGAGTTCACACTTAGCTGATGATTGATTATAAAGCTTGTTTGGCATGCTGTCCCGGTAGAGAGCCCTGGGCTCCCTCCTGTTAGCAGGGCGAGAGAGGAGTTTGAGCTCAGGTAGATCTTGATATACTACCCCAACTTATTTCTGGCTAATGACAGATGGCTGAGGGATGGCTAAGAAGAGATATATGAATTGCTAAGAGCTTTACTATGATGCCAATTTGGTATCTTCAATTTTCTTAGATTGCAAGATTTTTGGACTGTGGGAGGAAACCGGATTACCCGGGGAAAACCTATGCGAAAACGGAGAGAATGAGCAAACTCCACACAGAAATGTAGGGACTTTACCCAGAGACATTCTTGCTATGAGGCAACAGTGCTAATCCCTGGGCTGCCATGTTGCGTATCTAGAAAGGAGGGCGAGTAGGGGTGGGTGGGGGAAATTCTTTAAGATGGAGCTATTGAAATAATAGAACTTATTTAAAGTGAGTTAGGGATCATCTGATTGGTGAATCAGTTGTGAGCTGATGCAGGACTAGCTGTGATCAATCATAAGCACGTGATTCTCTCCAAATTAGTTTATAAATAAACTTTACTTATATTAATGCAGCTCATGACTAGGCAGTCAAACACTAATTATTATAAACTACTAAATCAGTCACAAGCAGAACCTGTGTTAAGAAATGTTGATACAGAATATGAAGACAACATTTTAATTGAATACATTTCTGTACTGTAGCAGAATGAAGTCGTTTTGTCATCTTTTGCTGTATTAGTTGTAATACGTTCAATGTTCATGTTGATGTACTTTCAATAGAAAAAGAATATTGATTTGGGGGCGGGGCTTACTTTAAACACATTATTCTCTCATAGCAAACTAGCTGAAAGGGGCCGTGGCTAAAAATATTGTAGCTGAAGCGTCAGTGACATCCTCAAAGAAGAGACGCTACTCCAAACACAGAAGCAAAAGCTCAGATTTTTACTGAAGATTAAAGAAGCAAACCTTTTTTTAGTTGATTAACTTAATTAATTGGCCATCTAAACAATAATAATGTGCACCAGCAAAATAAACATTGTAATTTTAGATTTCACACACAATTAAATAAATTTTTTGTGTTTCCGTATCAGCTGTAATACTCACAGATTTGCTCTAGTTCTTCAGCGATCTTTGCTTCAGGTTACAGCAGCATATAAACACAGAAAAGAAGAGATTATCAGTGAATAGACATCAGAAACACTGATCCTTCATGAGCTTCAGTAATGCTGTGTAACCAAATTTTAAAGATGCTTTGTGTTAATCATGACATTACTGTTGATTTATTTTGTTTGAACAATGTTTTAATAATTAAACAATATGCTACACATACAGCTGACTGAGATTCAGACCCTATACATTAATATCATGCATCTTCGTACTGGACAAATCACACACGCATCAATGATTACCAAGTCAAACACACACACACAAAAAACAATCTATAAATGTTAACAATGAAAAACATTTTACATATGAATTGCCCAAATAAAACATGTTATTTTTCTTTATTACTTACAGAGTTCTTGTTTAGTTCTTGTTATCTGGTCATCTGTAACAGTAGCACAGAGAATTGATGAATTGAAAAGATTATTAGTGAATCAACAAATCAGAAATGCTAAGAAAGCGTGATTCTTCCTGTGATTTTTGCATAATAGGTTTTAAGAGCACTTCTATAAAAGGTTTAAACAGTTGTGTGGCAACAGTGTGTGAATATAGCCATCCTCTGAAGATAAAAAAAAAAAAAAAAAAAAATTATATATATATATATATATATATATATATATATATATATATATATATATATATATATATATATATATATATATATATATATATTTTTTTTTTTTTTTTTTTTTGTTTATATATATATATATA